TTAAAATAATAAGCTGTAATAGTTTCTCGCATCTGAATTTAAATTTTAAAGGATGTAGATTAGGGATGGCAATTAGGCGGGTTTGGGGCAGGTTCATCTAAACCATCCCCATCTCCATTATCAAATAACCAAACTCATATCCGTACCATACCATGCGGAGGGAGGTTTTGGAAACCTATCCCCATACCTAGGAGTTTCGGATTCCCATGGGTAATACCCGCCCCGTATAAGCAATATTATTATATCTAAAGTTCAACATGTATTCAATTATAACACAAAACATACATAATAAATAGCGGGAATCAACATAGTTATAGTATTTCTTAATAGGAAAAAAAAACATTCAATCCTAAAATATTGATTAATCAATAAAATGAAAATATAATACTATATCAAATCATTCATCTTCGAATCCAACACATCTATATAGTAAATAGCTAGCATAAACTTGTCAGTTAGACAAAAACCTCTTTTGCTTATAAAATATTATAGTCTACTAGACTACCAATTATTCAAACACACTAAGTTACACCAATATGCATCAGAATAATTCAAGTATAAAAAATGATATGCAATGACCTATTACTATCTCATCAACAATTTTGGTAAGGTGGGCATCTCCAAGATGATTCAGGAGTAAGGAGAGGAAATGCAGTGACATTGAGGAATTGAGAAAGTAAACTGTATTCGGCTGAGAGGATTGAAACTTTTAAGGGTTTTGATAAACATAATTACATTTTAATCATGTTTTCTAATTTAATTACCTTCATGCTAATAATAATTTATAAAAATATATTTATAGCTTTTTACGTATAGCAAAATACCTTGATGTGGCAGGTTTGGGTATGAGTATGAGGCGGGGGACACTAAAACCATACCGGCCCCATACCCATCAAGTTCTTTGTGAGTTTTACTCATACCCGGTTAATACGAGAATTCCCCACATTGTCTGAGTCGGAGGTAAGTGGATACCCACAACCATGAGTTTGATTTTCATCCTTAGATGTAGTCTAATCATTTTCTAATGTGTTTCTCAATATATGAACAATTGAACTCACAGTCACACATTATAATTTTAGATAAAATAAATTGAGAGAGGTTGTAGTTCCTCTCAGACTACACACGTAGATTTACCACTTTCTACATTTTGTATCACTTCTTATGGATAGAACGTACATGTTGTCGGATGTGGTTGTATTTGTATCATCTTTTTATGCAAGATGTATTAGCTAATTTGGAGGGAAAAAATCCCAGAATACTCAAGTTATTAAAAAAAATTCCCTAAATACAGTATTTATAAACTTATTTCCCAAAGTACAGCAGTTTCAACATCACTGTCTTCGTCTTCGACAATGATTATAATCACCGCTGTAGTAAAAAACGGGGAAGGTATCACTGCTTTTGACAACAACGGGGAACACATCACCGCTTTCGACAACAACGGGGTAGGTATCACCGCTGCCGTCCAAAACGGTGATTGCCTCACCGCTGTTGAGCAAAACGGTGATTACATCATCGCCGTCGACCAAAATGGTGATATTTGACCACGTTTTAGAGCCCTGGTAGGTGAAAAATTAGGTCACAGCGACCTAGCTATCACCGCTTTGGACAAAAGCGGTGATGTGTTCGCCGCAATTGTCCACCGCGGTGATTAGCTGGCATTTTTCCCTATAAAAACCGACCCCCTCTTCCCTCCTGCTGCCTTACAGCAAATTAGTACAAAAATTAGTGTTTTTTTGGTCGTTTTCTCAGCTGGTTTGGAGTTGGTTTACTGCTCAAGAAACTCATCGGGATTCGGTATGTTATAATCATGTATTGTTTACATGTTGATGTGTTAGTAATTATATGTCTGTATTTAGTGAATTTCGGTTATTGACAAATATGTTATGAGATATTTAGATTAATTATGATAGATGTTAGTTAGTTAGTTATGAATTTACATGAATTCGTTTAGTTTTCTCATGATAGATCAATTAGTTGCGTTTGTTTATGGGTTTGGATGATATTTTTTTTGTATCCCTAATGTACTAATTATATACTATACTTAATTATTAAAATTGCAGACATGGGTAAATTTAAGAAGTTTCGACTTATTATTCGGTGGAATGGTCGGGTAACAAACTCGAACATTGAGATCGACTATGAAAATGGCGAATCCACTATGCTAAAAATTGAGTCGAGATTCTCGTGGCAAGAACTCCATGACATTTGTGCATAAAGGACTTTATACGTGCGGGCAAAGGAGAGTTGGTCAAATTGCTTACCGGTATCCAAACGTGAGTGCTGATGGAATCATGTACGAAAAAGTTGTCATAAATGATGATGACTCGGTGAACATGATGATACAGTTTCTATTTGACAACGGGTTGCGGCTTGCAGAGGTGTATGTCGAGACCGAGCCGGTCGGTGAAACTCATTCTCACCAGTTTTCTTGTGATGATGGTTTTGCAGGAGGGTATGGCTGGGGTGGTAGTTCAAGTAACTACGGAGGAGGTACTTCTGCAGGAGGGTATGGCTGGGGTGGTACTTCAAGCAACTACAGAGGAGGTAGTTCTGAAGGAGGTGTTGGGTGGGAAGAATACCCGCAACATGCTGAGACTGCCGTTGATATCGTTCAGCCCGACGGTGATCAATGGCCTGCTTGGGGTCCAGAGTGGGCTGACATTGAGACCACCCTTCGATCTGGGCGTACTTCGCATGACCAAGAAGACGATGTTGGTTATGCTGGTAACGATGACCATCCTGAGTCGAGCTATCCATTCGCCTCTAGTGACGATGAAAGTGAGGAAGATTTGAGATCAGTCAGTGAGGAGGAAGATACAGACGATATCGATGACAGAGAGGTGGCGTTCCGTCAGGCACCAACGCCTTACTACACAGAGGTTCCTGATCAATTTTTATATGGTCAGAACGATGCCCCTGACTTTCGGCCATGCATGTGTATAATCCGACTGCTAATTTGGAAGTGGGTATGGCGTTCACTTCGAAAGCCGATGTGCAAGATGCTTTTAGCGAAGAAGCCATGCGGCGTAACTTCGAATGGAAGGTAAAATATTCTGACACCAAACAACTGCATGTCATTTGTAAGAATGCTGGAGAGGGTTGTATGTGGCAACTTCGGGCTGCATATATGAAGAGAAAGGGCGTCTGGGTCATGCGGACAGTAGAGAACAACCACAGATGCTCCTCAACCATACTTTCACAGGATTACCGGCAACTTAAAGCAAAAAAAGTGGCAAGAACCATTAAGCACCTAATCGAGGCACAACCAGATATCAAGATAAAAGCTATCATGGCCGAGGTGAATGATCGACATTCCTACACCATAAGGTATAAGAAGGCGTGGCATGGGAAGCAGAAGGCCATGGCTGAGGTCTACGGTGATTGGGATGACTCGTATGCTTTACTCCCTAGAATAATGTCCGCAATGGAGGAGTCCAACCCCGGGACGGTTTTCGTGCCGTGGTACAACAACGTACAAACTGAAGATCAAGTTCGAGTACAGAACGAGTTGATGTTTCATCGTCTGTTCTGGACATTCAAGCCATGCATTGACGGGTTTCCCTTCTGCATGCCAGTGATTCAGGTATATTACGGACTCAAGCTATTGTACTAGTTCATTACTTTACTAAGTTCAATTTTTACTAACTAATTATTCATTTTAACAGGTTCATGGAACTTTCCTTACTGGGAAGTATAAAGGGACCCTTCTCATTGCCACTGGGGTTGATGGAAATTTAAGTATTTTCCCCTTAGCATTTGCATTAGTTGAAGGGGAGAACAACTTAAGTTGGGCATAGTTTTTTGACCAGCTACACGCCCACGTCACACAAAGAATGGGTATTACAATTATATCGGATCGACATGCCAGGATTAAACACGCCGTCGGTGGTTTTCCCGACGAATGGGGATGGACATGGCGCTGGTGTATTCGTCACTTCCTTGCCAATTTCCAACACAAATTTGGCAAGAAGAAAGACATAAGAGATCAATTGTGGAGTGCAGGTAGTAATGTAATTCAGTGCTTGTTCATGGTTTATTGTTCAAATGAAATTTCTTATGCCTTAATTATTTATTCTTCGGTCTTGAAGCGGTTGCACATCAACCAAAAAAGTACGAGCAGAAGATGAAGACGATCCGTCAGATACACCAGGCGGGGGCAATATGGGTAGAAGGTCAAGTTCTGCACATGTGGACATTCCACATGGACAACGGGGCTAGATTCGGCATTGCAACTACCAACCATGGCGAGAGCATAAATGGAGTCTATAAGGGAATTAGGGCAATGCCTGTATCTGTCCTAGTGGAGATGACATACTGGAAGGTAAACGAGTGGTTTGTGAAGAGACGGGAGCTCGCCATAGGGAGGGAGCGTGCAAGTCATTCAATAGCACATCATGTAGTTAATGACATGCAGAAGATCGAAGAGAAATCAAGTAAGCACAGAGTTGTTCTGTTCAACCGCACTGAAGGTATTTTTGCTGTGCAAACAGGTATTTGGGTGGAGGAAGATGTGGGCATAATCTTCAATCCGTTACTCTACACGTAGAAACTCACACCGGAGAGTGTACATGCCAAAAGTATCAAAACAGAAGAGTACTGTGTTCACATGCAATGGCAGTAGCTAAGTCGATAACCCTCAGCGCTTACAGTTTGGTTAGTCCTTACTACACGGAACAGGCGATCATGAACTCTTACTCGTCAAGTTTCAGCCCCCCTGCCGGATGAAGCTTATTGGCGTGTAGACAATGGGAAGTTGATTATCCCACCGTTGCACTTAAAGTGCACCAAAGGTCGTCCTAGGACCGAAAAGATTCACAATGAAATGGATCAATCACAACGTGCCCGACGAGGTCCAAAGCGTTGCTCAAAGTGCAGACAACGGGGTCACGACAAGAGGCGTTGCCCAGGTCCACCTCTAGAGCAAGATTCGAGGGCAAATACGAACCAACCTTGAGGCTGTTGTATTTAATTGTCATTTTCTTTGTTGTGATGTTTAAGTTGGACTTCTTATTTTAATCTTGTTGAGTGATTGTAATGATGATGGATGTTGTTTATCTTGGTACAACATGGGTGGTAAAATACAAAATAAGACCAAACTAAATTAAGACGACATAGATAGTTCATGGAAAACAACACAAGACTAAACTAAATTAAGACGACATAGATAGTTCATGGAAAACAACACAAGACCAAACTAAATTAAGACGACATAGATAGTTCATGAAAAACAACACAAGACATAACTAAACATGGACATTTCACTGGTTGTCTTCATTTCCTTCCACTTCCCCTTCTCTACCTCTTCCTCCACGACGTCCTCGACCCTTTCTTCCGCCGCCTTCCATACCTCCTCCTTCTTCGCGAGCCCGCTGGACAACTGCTCGCGGATTCCTCTTAATCCGACCCCCACCAGAGTGTACACAGGTGGTGGTGGTGGTGGAATTTGCTGAGATGAACCAGAAGCGTGGTAGAAAGTCGATGTTGTATGTTGTTGTTGCGGGGTCTGATAGTTCATCGGAGTTTGTTGCTGATGGTAGAACATGTCATGTTCCTGAGTCGGGATATAGCTTGACGACCCTCTGGTTCCCTCAGTACTAGTTGCCCACTCACAATGTGGCCATTTTTCAGGAAGTTGAGTTTGTTGAGTCGGATGAAGCTCTTCAATGTTGGCTCTCACCCTTCTTCTGCTCCTCCGCGGGGGCTCTTGTGGGGGCACGATCCTCTCATCATCACGGAATGAAGGTCGGGCCGGAGCAGGCATTAGAGGGTATAATACGACATCCCTCCTTTGATCTCGGGTACAAGAGAGCAGGTTGTTGAAAAGCCTCACCAAAAAAGATGTCTTCCGCTCGATCGAGCATGTGCCATTCCACCATGTGCCAGCAAATTAAGGGCACCTTGCACAACAATGTCTCTTCATCCTCGGGATGTCTAAGACGATGCAACTCAACCACTTCCGGCGGATATGGATCCCATACCGCCTACAATCATTATAGTTCATGGAATTAGTACAAATTATATCCACTCCACCTAAAAAATTGAAATTGATGAAATTTTATATTTTTACCTGGTTCCACCAAGGCTTATCAAGTTCAGCACGATAAAACAGTAAAAAGTGCTCGGGCTGGTGATCATTTGTATTTGCACCGATCCACCTAATTAAGCAAAAATACGTATATAAGCAATTTTTAAAGCATAGATGTTTACTTGTTAAGTATCAATTATGGAAGCATCTAAATTGAACTAAAATTCCTTACTTGGCAATAATCTAAATTCGCTCAATACGATTTGGTTAGAATAAATCTAAATTCACTTACTTGGAATATCTAAATTCACTAAAATACTATAATTGCAGACTTAAAATGAATCTAAATTCGCTTACTTGGAATCGATCTAAATTCACTAAAATACTATAATTGCATACTTAAAATGAATCTAAATTCGCTTACTTGGAATAGATCTAAATTCACTAAAATACTACCATTGCATATCTAAAATAAATTAAACATAAATTTAACTTACTTGAAACCATATGGGGGATTTGCTACAAATCGTAGCTCATCATCTGGCAACCAGAATTCCCGTGGGTCTCGAGGTGCGAAAAATGGAAGATGCTCCCATGCCCAGAGCTGGAGTAAGAACATTGCACCACCAGCTTGTTTCACTCCCAACCTCGAGCAAGTACACAACTCTCAGTAGATCCAGCCAAGATGGCCGACCCCCAACTTTTTTTCCCGATCTCGTCCCAGTCACCGAGGAGCATATGTAACCACATGCCTTGTATCCACCGGTTTGCCTTGTCGGGGAACAGAAACCCACCAACCAAGCCAATTAAGTAGACACGTGCATACCGCTTCACCTGATCTTCAGGAGTGTCCGGGCCTATATTAACCTCCTCCTGGATGTGTTCAACAAGCCACGGGATCGATACTTGCCCCGCATTCAGTGGTGGATGCCCAACCCCTTCGATGGGCGTGGTTGTTGGCATGTTGAACCCCAAACGCTCTTGAATCAACAGCCCCAACCATCTTCCGGTTTTCTCGAGTTGTCGATGATGGCATCTCCGGTGATCGGGAGCCCGGTGAGGATGGCAACATCTTTGAGGGTGATCGTCATTTCACCCTCGGGAAAGTGGAAGTTATGCAGCTCGGGGCGCCATCACTCTACCATTGCCGTCAGCAAATCGTTGTCAATATCAAGCCTCATGAAGTGCCTCAGCATGTGCAATCCCGTCCTCTCTAGATAGGGCGCCAGTCAAGCATGCCAACGGGGCAATCGACATGTCCCTCGATGACTGATGGGAATAAGTGATTCCTACAAAACAAAAAACACAATGTTGTCAGTCAATAGAAAGCAAAATAAAAACTTTAAAACTAATGAAATAATTTTAGTGTCTACCGGATTATTGTTCCAAATTGCACGGGAGCGATGTTGATCTTGCTCGGTTAAATACCTTCAATCCCTTGGGCCAGGATCGATATACAATCGAGGGTCGTATATCTCAGCACCCATCTATAAAAAAATATGAAATCAAATCAATTTATATTTTGCACCCATGTAAAAAAAATCACAAAAGAATAAAATAAATTTACGTACTCTCAGAGCCTCTTCGTCCATTTTTTGCCGAAAAGCTAGAGAGAGTATCGACAAAACAAAAACTCTAGTAATTCTTTCTGATGCGGAAGATCGGACTTAGCCCAACCACAGAGCATACTTAGAACGAAACTATAGTGAAGTAATGGAGGGAGAAAGAAGTATAAAATGGTGGTGTGGTTTGGAATGAGAGGTGGGAGTGGTATTTATAGGGTTTGGGCGCTGGAAAAGTCCGAGGCATTAATCACCGCGTCAAAGAAACGCAGTGAAGTCACCGCGTCCAACAAAAGCGGTGATGGCTTGGATCGGTGACGTGGCGTCATGTGAGGCGTTGGATCGTGGAGAAAAACCACAATCCGCCCCTCTTCGCATCCAATGGTAACGGTGAAGGCGCGGGTGGCGCGGATCGCTGACGTGGAAAGCGGAGCTATCACCGCTTTTGTCAATAACAGTGAAGTGCCCGCGCGTGTCCACGTCAGCGATCCGCGCCACTTCACCGTTGTTGACATCAACGGTCACGATTCCTTCACCGCGTCCCTTATCAACAGTCAGTCTCTCCTCGCTATTGACGAAAGCGGGGATTGTTTCCCCGTTTTTCTCCTCAGCGGGGATAACATCACTGCTTTTGTCAACAGCGGTGATACCTTCCCCGTTGTATACTAAAGCGGTGATTATAATCACTGTCGAAGACGAAGACAGTGATGTTGAAACTGCTGTACATTGGAAATTAAGTTTATAAGTACTGTATTTAGGGAATTATTTTTAATCATTAGAGTATTCTGGAATTTTTTTCTAATTTGGATGTGATTACATTCCTTCTCGTCTTCTCCATTGGGTCGATACGTAGTACTAAGTGTAATTGTAGATTTTGATCATAATTAACAAGTCTTCGTGACCTTAGGTTGTATTAGCAAATAATGCATGTCCATGGCAAAAATGGACGGTTAGATTACATCATTATCATTGATTAAAGGTTTGATATATGTTGTATATGGTATCTCAAAGTATCCTTGTGATCATCAGTCAGTACTAATATTATATAGTGTTATAAACGCGCTGCTACGGATCGGGAAATCACCGAAATTGATAAAGTAAGAATACGAAAGTGAGAATCGAAAAACACAGACACACGATTTACGTGGTTCACTAACACAATGTGTGTTAGCTAGTCCATGGGCGAGAGCCAGTTTCACTATATCGAGGAGATTACATATTATAGAGGAGTATGAGAAGTATTTATAGTACTTCTCCATGTGGGTCTAAATCTAATCCAATATGTTAAAGGAAACGGTTATAGACCAGGCCCAGAACCCGAACCCAAATAACATTGAGACCCCCACTACCAGTCGTAGCATCTGATAGTCCGATTCCAGACACATCAACAAATATCCACCTTGACTTGAATCCTTTTCCTCTGAATTCTCTAATGTACTCTGCTCCTTCTCTCTCTCTCGCCATCAATGCCCCGCAGGGCAGAGTTACCCACTCAAGACATTCAACAAGTCCAAGCAGTGTTGGAACTTGCCATGTGGAACCGGCTTCGTGAACATATCAGCAGGATTATCCGCGGTGCCAACCTTCTTCACCTTAATCCTCTTCTCTGTCCTCAAGAAATGATACCTGACATCAATGTGCTTAGTCTTCTCATGGTGGACTTGATCCTTGGCCAAGCATATTGCACTTAAACTGTCGCAATGCACCACTGCCTGATCATGATGTAGACCCAGATCACCAACCAGTCCCTTCAACCATATTTCCTCCTTAGCAGCTTCTGTCAACGCCATATACTCTGCCTCAGTCGTAGACAATGTCAGCGCCGACTGCAAAGTTGCCTTCCAGCTCACTACAGAACTCCCAAGAGTGAATACATACCGGTCATCGATCTCCTCATGTCAACATCTCCAGCATAGTCTGAGTCAGAATACCCAGACACCAAGCACTCTGTATCACTTCCGAAGCTAATCCCCACATCAGGTGTACCCTTAAGGTACCGGAAGATCCTCTTCACAGCCTGCCAATGCTCCTTCCCAAGTTGTATCATAAACATGCTGACAACACTAACAGCATGTGCAAGATCAGGTCTAGTGCATACCATAGCGTACATCAAGCTACCTACTGCACTAGCATATGGAACTCTTGACATGTACTCCTTCTCAGCCTCTGCCTGTGATGCATAAGTTGAGTATAGATGAACATTTGAAGCACTAGGAGTATTTAAGGGCTTTGCTGAAGACATGCCAAACCTCGACAGTATCTTCTGGATGTAGCTCTTCTGTGACAAGAAAAGCTTCTTCTTCGACCTGCCCCTGTAAATCTCCATACCCAAGATCTTCTAAGCAGCTCCCAAATCCTTATCTGAAACTCAGCACTGAGAAGCCCCTTTAACTTTTGGATATCAGACTTCGACCTCGCAGCTATGAGCATATCATCCACATACAGAACAAGATAGATCATCGAACCATCCTCCACTAAAATACTATAACTGTCAAATCTCTTATACCACTACCTCGGAGACTACTTAAGTCCATACAAGGACTTCTTCAGCTTACAAACATAGTCTTCTTTTCCCCGAACATGGAATCCTTCTGGCTGAGTTATGTAAATTTCTTCATCCAACTCTCCATGTAGGAAAGTTGTCTTCACGTCTAGCTGCTCGAGCTTCAAGTCATAATGTGCCACTATTGCTAGTAGCACTATGATCAAGTATGTCTGACCACTAGTGAAAAAATCTCATTGTAGTCAACTCCTTCCCTCTGCGGGAAGCCTCTTGCAACCACCCAAGCTTTAAATTTCATGCCCTCTTTAGAAGTGATTCCTTCCATCTTCTTGCAGATCCACTTGTTTGTAACAATCTTCCTTCCTTGTGGTCGTTTGGCTAGCTCCCAAGTTTGATTCCTGTCATAGGATTCCATCTCATCTCCCATTGCGGCAAGCCACTGATCAGCTTCGCCACCCGAAACGACTTCTCTATAGGGTTGTGGCTCACCTGCATCCACTTCTTGAGCAACCTGAAATGAATACGCCACCATGTCCTCGAAATCATACCTCTCTGGAGGTACTCCTGCAGTCGCTCTCTTTGGTCTACCAGAAGCTATAGACTGTTGAGCTCCTGCACTGGACTTTGAAGTTTCTGGCTCTGTAGAAACATCCTCATGTTGATCTTCTCCACCTTGGTGCTCAAACTCACTCTCATTGGGAGTTTGCAGCTCCACCTGCTTATCAACATTCTTGCTGGCTTCAACAACAGTAACCTTCAACATGGGGATAAACATAGACTTCTCATCAAATATCACATTTCTACTGAGTATAACTCGATGCTCAGAAGGTGACCAGACTCTAAACCCCTTAACTCCATCTCCGTAACCCACAAATACACCCTTCTTTGCTCTTGGGTTCAGTTTACCCTCATCCACATGATAATAAACAGGACACCCAAAAACTTTCAGTGAAGAGTAATAAGCAGGCTTACCGTGCCAGACCTCATAAGGAGTCTTAAATTTGATACCTGTGTGAGGTCCACGGTTGATGAGGAAGCACGCCATGTTCACTGCT